TAACAACAGGGTCGTTTTAAGATGGGTTCCGGGTCACGAGGGTATTGTAGGCAACGAATTTGCCGACAAACTTGCACGGGAGGGCTCAAAGTGCACACAATTTGGACCTGAGCCATTTTGTGGAATCTCAAGAAGCCTAGCCCGATTGACCCTTGAAACTCTTTATCACATAAATCACTTAAGATCTGGTCTGACACACCAGGCTTAAAACATTCTAAAACCTTAATCCGGGCTTTTGATCGTAAATTCGCTTCAGAAGCCCTGGGATTAAGTAAAAATAAATTGCGCATTCTGGCAAGAGCCCTAACTGGACACTGTTGTCTTAAAAAGCACATGTCCATCCTGGGACTAAGCAACTCAAGGATGTGTCGGTTCTGTTCCATAACGGAAGAAACGCCTCTACACATCCTAACTGATTGCGGACCCTTAATGCGCAAACGTAACACTCATCTGGGACACTATCTACTCCGCCCAGAAGAAGTGAAATTGCTCACGGCTAAGCAACTCCTTCGATTCATTGAAGACATAGGGCTTAGCCGTGAACTATAGCCATAGCAGCGATCGCAATAGATCTTTTAGGTCGCAGTGACACTGGTCTCTTTACCTAGACCTGCATAGCTGCTCGTATATAATTAAAAAAAAGTTACTTTAATATTATGTTAAAATACTCACAAATGAAAAGCCACATTGCCCTTTTGTATACTTGACGTTTTTGGTTGTTTTTTTTTTAATGTAAATACACTGCAATTCGGCATTTTATCGGAGCTCGATTTACTGGCACGATCACTTTGGAATGACAAAGGACGCGGAGCAACTAGTTTTATATAACGGGTATGAGTCGAACTCTCGTACCTTTTACAGAGGGATATGCCTTGCGATGCCGTCTCCTTTGGTTTAATACTCAAAGCGCTTACGTAACGCGTCATTTTATTTGAAATCTGCTCGGCTGATCTTCCTTTTTAAACTTCCTTAGAGATGTAGCCGTGTCGCACGTTGTATATCGGTTTCGAAATTTTGAGACTATATTTTTCCCGAGGCTTCTACGGTTCCTACGGCGCCACGATTAGTGGGCGCTTTCCCATTCGCATAGTTTCCGAAATATCGATACTCAAAATTCGAATACTTAAACGAAATCAGCACGCCCCAATTCCACGTAGTCTTGTCTGCCCTACCCCTAGTGTTTTTGTAAAGCCGTAGGCGCGGAGGAGGAGCAGCCCCTCTTGTTATTTACTTGACTGTAGAGGTGCTCCATTTTTGCTCTAAATTCTGATATATTGAAAATACACCTAGCTCGATTGGGCTTTCTGGGGGGACGCACACAGCGCATGATAGTTTCATGTTTCTTACCTTTTGTTTTATTCAAATATCAATAATAATTTAAAAAATAACACGTTTGCGTTTAATTTTGAATAGTTTTCAATAAATCTATGCTTAACGCATTACACCACTAGCGGTCAAACATAGACGATTTTGGCGTGCTGGACATAGTATTTGCACGGTAATATAGATAAAATTACCGTGGTATTTGCTTGGATAAAAACCATACCTATTTTTTAGTTCAATGTTTCTGAGTACTTGTGGCTATAAGAGACTTGTTTTTTAAACTTACACATTGCTGGGATATTCTATTTTGAGAAATGTAAAATTAAAATACCAGTAATAACTTTTCTGTATCTATACTTCATATTTTTGTGGACCGGGTTTTTTGTCGACTATAGATGTCATTGGCGCACAGTACTCGCAAGTGCTGGTCCAGACTTTGGCGTTCAAAAGGTTAACCTTTTGAGCGCCAAAGTCGTCTATACGTGACCAGCACCCGCGTGCCTTGAGCGCCAACGACGTCTATAGATGACAAAAAACCCGGCCCACAAAAATATGAAATATAGACATTGGAAAATTATTACTGGTATTTTAATTCTACACCCCTCAAAAAAGAATAACCCAGCAACATGTGAGTATAAAAAACAAGTCTTCTAGAGCCACAAGTACTAAGAAACATTGAACTAAAAAAAATGGATTTTTATCTAAGCAAATACTATGTCCAGCACGCCAAAGTCGTCTATGTTAGACCGCTAGTGTTGTAATGCGTTAGCCATAAATTTATTGAAAACTATTCAAAATTAAGCTCGAACGTGTTATTTTTTTCTATTATTATTGATATTTAAATAAAACAAAAGGTTAGAAATATAAAACTATAATTAGCTACATGAATTAAAAAAAAATTAACAAATTATCTTCGCATTAATATCTCAACTCTGGCGCATCCTTAGCGCGACATCGAAAATCAGTTCACTGGGCGCCGTGGTCAAGTATAGATGACACACTGATGACGTCATAAGCGATTAACGGGAAAATTAGTGCAGTGCAACATGAACGATTCCTCAGAACTCATTCGGATTTTGGAAAGCGTCGACGATGATGAATTTTCGGATATTTAAAATTATCGTGAAACCAAAGTTTTTCGTTTTCGATTAACTCTACCTCAATGAGGTAGGAATACACTTTATAGTCTTTTTACGGTTAATTTCTTTTTTATAGCATAGGGTAATAAACGAGCACACAGTCCACCTGATGGTAAGTGGTTGCTGTGGCCCATAGACATTTACATCTATCCTCGATTACGAATCAAAATGCAGATGCGCTCTCACCCGTGAGGACTTAGATGGAATGTCTCGTTTCCAGTAAAGAGGGTCTCCGGTTCTCTACACTTACCATACGAAATACAGCAGCATTAAGCTACTATTTGATGCCGATATTCCGTGAGAGCGTGGTTCTTCCCCGGTTGAGCCGACCCATTCGTGCTACAACTACTAACTCCCGTAATATAACTGCAGCATGGCTCTACCACGTTAGAAAATTTGCTTTGGCCAGCTAAACATTTATGTTTTATTATTCCATAAGATTTTTATTATTTTAAGACTAATATTACCTATAATTTATTAATATTTTTAATTGTTGTTTTCTATATTAAGTACTGATTGAGTTAAAGACCAAGATTTTAATATTTTATGACTAGACCTAGTGCAAATAATTATTTACAATTTTTGAATAATTATGTACCCTTTGTTGATTTCTGTAATAAGTACTGATTTTTTTATTCCATGACCAAGATTTTAATATTATAAGACTGATTTTTCTAGTGCGAATAATTACCTATATACAGTTGTTGATTAGTGAATAATTACGTACCTTTTCTATTTTAATAATATAAAATTACAAATTATAAATGTGTTTTCTTTACTTAAGGTATGAAGAGCACTTTTCATTTTGTGTTGTGCGATTTTCTTTCTCAATCTCAAAATCATTTAGCAACATCAGTATCATATGAAACCCCCTTTATCATAAGAGCGTAAGACTTTTCTTCTGTGATTCACTTGGCCTACGCCTTGCCATAAAATATTTTGAATAGATGTCTGTATATTTTGGTTACATCGATTTTGAAATCGATACACAACGTGCGACACGGCTACATCTCTAAGAAAGTTTCAAAAAGAAAGGTCAGCTACGCCGTTGTCGTCCAGTCGTGACAGTGACGTCATCACGACGGAGAGTAGTGTTGTGGTTTACTACTATTTTATTGTTATTGTTTGTTTTTTATTTATGTACAAAGTACATATATAAAAAGAGTGGAAGACAGCACAAGATTAAATAAAACATATCCGATTATAAAGACTCATTTATTGTATAAAAAACCAACAAAAACAAGTTATTTTGTGTTATCGATATATCAACTCTTGGCAGCACTGTTTTTTTCGTAGGTATTTTTGTTTACTTTTCGCTTTGGCGTACAGGACACTGTAGTGAGTTTTTGGCGTGGCGCTCAAAAGGTTAAATACGAGATAGTACATCACTATCTACATAGGCATATGGTTTTTTTCGCCTTATATAGTATCCGCTTACGACATTCATCGAATGAAACTGAATCAATCGATTCACTTAACTCACCGCTATAAATATTTTGTAACTCCAAAATTAAGGTTATTGTGTTTTATCTGAAGATATATGCAGCCACTGTATTTTAATTTGATCACGAATGTGTCGGCTCAGCTGGGGAAGGATCACTCTCTCGCAGAATACCAGTATAATGAGTGTAAATAATCGAAGACCACAAGGCATTTCATCTTAGGTCTCATGGACGAACGCATCATTTCGATTCTGGATTGATCACGAGTGTCTATGTGCCATAGAAGCCATTTACCATCAAGTTTTTTTATAGAATAAGGGTGACTGACTAACGAGCACATACTTCCATCTAATGGTAAGTAGATGCTGGGTCCCATAGATATCTACATTTATCCTCGATTAATACTCAAAATGCAGATGCTTTGTCACTCCAGATGACAAAGATTGAATGTCTCGCCAGTACTGGGATCCATTTATGAAGAACGAAATGGCATACTAAAACCATACCATATAATTTTATAGATAGTTTGAAAATCTATGCTCCGTTTCCAAAACATACTTACATAAAAAGTGAGAAATAAATAAAAACTAACGATTCAAAATCATTTATTTAGAATACAACATAAAGATAGAAGCCATTCCAATCAAATACCATACAATATTTCAAAAACTAAACGATTGATAGATTAACATTAATAACGAATTTAGTTTTAAATTGCCTTACATTAATTTCGAGAGCAATAATGGGTCTCGAAATATTTAATAAAACGAGAATCTCAACACTTAGTGTTAAAAATATATTATAAGTGTTGATATGTAAAAATATATATAAGTATGATTAGACTTAGAATTATTCTAATAAGAAAAGCTTAAAACCTATGTTTTCTTATTTTATAAGCCTGAGACTTGGCTCTTTTTGTCATGTCCGGGTAAACATATAAACAGCGACAGCTAACAAAAAGATTTACAATCCACATTCATAAAAATTACGTCACTGAAGCTATTTAACAAGCATCTTGAACACGAAATGCGTAATCAACGAACATGGATTTTACAAATATATTGCAACTTTTTCACATAAACTCGCCGATATTCATTTAGCTGTTGAGCCTTTTCTGCGACACTGCCGACATGAAAGCCTCTCGGAGCTTCTTCGTCGTATCTTCCAAGATCTCGGCCCGTATTCTCAATTTTTTGTTTCGCTCTTCTAACTCGATGGCCAGTTGCTCCATTTGCAATTCTTTTAGTTTCCTGTTCATCCTTGATCTTTTTGATGCTTCGTTGTTTTTGTCTCTCAATTCTCTGTATCTTAGTTCGTGTGTGGATACTGAGGAGCTGTCGTCCATACTACAGACAGAGGAGACTGTGCTCTCTCTTCTTTTCGGTGGGCGACCTCTTCGCGTGGGTTTAAGCTGCTGTGAGCCTTCCAAAGCGCGAATCATATCCTTAATAGGAATGTCGGGCTTCCTCCTCCTGTATTTCCGAGGTGAATGTTCGGTATACGGCGTGTATGTTTCATCTGAATCTTCACTATCACGACGTCTTTTTTTGCTTGAATACGATTTTGTGTCATCGTTGTCCGACTCCACGTGCGATTCCGTCTTTGGTGTGATTGGATCGTATTCCATCGGCGGTGAAGACTCGGTCTTGGAAACGCTGTCAACAGAAGACTCCTGTGCGGGCCATTCCGGTGCTGGCGTCTGCAACAAGAGAAAATAACAATTTAACATAATAATCAATAATTAAGTCATTTCGCAATATTAAAGCGTAATTTTCGAAAAACATCTGTATTCGCATAAGATATTTCTAATGGGTGCAAAAAGGGTGTAACTAAGTATTTAGTACTTTCACATTTATGAAACTTTGTTGTACACTTTGAAAAAAAAAACTTGAATTATTAGTTTGTTTAAGGATCCTTACCGAACTTGCATGTGAGCATTTCTCTTCCTCCAACTGCTCGACGTAGTTTAGAACTTCTGGCGTACTAATAATGTCGACGGGCCATTTTGGGGCACAGGCTGCCACGTCTATAGACAAGCCGCGACCTCGGCGTTTAGACATTGTCTCTGTTGGAATCTTCCCCATTTCCTTGGAATCTTGGTAGTCATTTATTATGTACTCCGATATAACTACATCATTGTTCTCCACCTCCCGCGGTATAACCGAAACTAGTTTAATGTCCGAAGACTCCTCTGCAATGAAGGGCAAGGTGGGGTGTGTGTTTGTATTTGGTTTTGTGTAATCAGTATCTGATGTTAGCCAGCCGATAGGCTCTGTGACTTGCCACGGTTTCATATCGGCCTTTTTGCTTGACGCTGATTCCCCTATTACGACTGGCAAATTGCTTATATCTAAAAATTCTTCTGTAAACGGAACTTTGTCGTTCTGCTGAGGCCATAAGTCATTACTGTACTTCGCCAGCCCATCTACAGATGGAGAAACCGGGTTCGACATGGAATAGTAAAAATTTGCCGGCGTAGACGGAGAATTAGCGTCAAATACATCCCAGCCTTGCGGCGAGATAGGTGTGTGCAGTGTGTCAGTGGTAAGTGCCCTGTTTTCAGCGTGTTTTGGAGAGTCTGGGAAAGAAAGTAAATTTCGATAAGTATTTATGATGATACGGAATGAAAAAGAGAAAGACGAAAACTAAAAACCTACCAATGGACTGTACTACTACATCCTCGGCGGGAGCGGCGCACCACTGAACCAGATCTTGGAAGAACTCGCAGTCCGATTCGTGAAACATTGTACTCGGTAATTCGGGCTCCGGTTTTGGAAATTCCTGGAATTATATAAATTTTCATATTAGTAAGGACACTTTAAAATAATGACGGAACTAAAAATAGAAAACTTATATTAATAATAAAATAGTGTTAATTAGTAAGTACTCACAGCCGGCGTCGTTCTTACCTCGGGATAGCTGGTCGCTGCCTCGGGCGATGACGGCTCCGATACTGTATTTCTGTGTGTAACCACTCCGGTTGAACCGTTCACCTGTTGACTCTTTTCTGCCTTTAAAAGATCTATATCTACCACTTTCAAAATACTGCGAGTCTGGAGACTCGTTTGCGAAAAAACCATATCTGTTGTTGTTTGTGTTGTACTTATTTCCGATATCGTCGCTCCGACTCGGACAGGTGATCTTTTGAGCAACCATTTTGAATAGAACTACAAACAGAAATGATACGACGTAACATAATGTGCATATTTTTATTAAGCGAGGGGAGGAATGACGGGGTGATAAATTCACATGGGGTTTCATCACAGAATTTTTAGATAAAAAAGGAAAGGAAATTTTGCGGGTATATGATAGTGAATGTTAACGTTGAGGGACGGTAACCGAGTGATCAATGAGAGGTGACGTAAACAGGCATAGCAACGAAGCGCCGCGGTACGTCAACATTTCCTAAATGTCACAAGATGGAGAACCTTGAGGCGAGTTTATAATTATATGTAAATGTATTAAAATAAAGTGGATATACGTAAATACTAGTTTACATGACATTGAAGGGAATTGTGTTGGCATAAATATTAAGATATTATGTTAAACTTACATATATAGAAAACATAAAAGAATGTAACCACTCAAAAATAAGAGTATATTCAGAACAAATAAATTACTTGATATGATATAATGAACTTTAAAGGATATGAGATCTGACTGACTGCTATGACGTGCCTACACAAGTTTAAGTACGTATAATATTACAGAGCATCTGTCTGACATATATATATATATATATATATATATATATATATATATATATATATATATATATATATATATAATATAAAAATATAAGCTGTGTACCAAATTTAATATAGGTTGCTATAACTCATCACCTGCCCAGTGCATCATGTTTGAATCAAAGCTATGTAATTTTTGTTTGCAAACGTATTTCATTTATGTTAGATTTACTATATAAAATAAAAAGGCACAGTAGTACATGTTATATCAATTTCATTTTAACATACTACTTACGCCTGTCTACATTTATATGAGTTAATAAAAATGTCAAATGAAAATTGCTCTTTTCAAAAATAAGGTTAGTATTTACCTATGGCTGTATGCATATATAGCAACAAATACTTTAAATTATAAGAATAAAACAAGTACATACGTTAGCCTAGTAATATATATAAATTTAGTTTCTTCACAAAGTTACTTTGGTCTTATTATTTTTCGATATAGTGTAAAATAGTCTTATATAGATGCGTGTTTATCCCAATCTAAAGGTTATTTCCATGTTGTTATTTTTTTATACAGAAGTTAGAAACAACACGGGAGCCAATCGTAGGCGATATTTAATTAATGTATCCTTAAAAATGTTATAGTACGATTTTGTGTCTAAATAGGTCATAAACTAAAGTTTAAACATGTTGGTATTATTTCAAAAAACTGTTTACTTTATGCATGTCAAACGGTGTGCGTGATGAAAAACGAAAATGAAAGATATGAAATGGGGAAGTATTCAAAACTATAAAAAGTTGAAGTTTTTAGAGTGACTTAGTATTTTAAAATTAACTTTAGTAATAATTTAATAATTATTTTTCAAAATGAAAAACAAAATGTATTTATTTAACAAGTGGAATTAGAGAATCGATTTCTTTAAACTGTCCTTCCTTTTTTCCTTTCGAACTTCGCTCTTCACGATCTGAAACAGAGAAACTATTATTTTAAAAAAGGAACCGCCGTAGCGGCAGTACTCACTTTGTTGAACTCTTCTTGAGCCCCTAATGAAATGTTAACTCTTTAGGCTCCTAACCAAGTAATCCTCAGCGCAGTAGGCCTGAAACAAGTCGAGAGACGTTATGTTATTTTTTACAGAACGGAAACCAGTAATAAAGTTCAATCGACATCCTCATAAACTGTTCTATGGAAAAACCCCAGCGCCACGTAAGAAAACGCTGACTTAAATTGAAGATAATCGACATTAATAACGTAATAATGAAAATAAGAACGTCATTATACCTATAAGAACATGTGTTATTATAGTTTATTATTTAAATTATTTATAGTATTTCTGCAGGGGAGCCGTGTTAGCTCAGATGGTTAACGCTCGCTGTAAATGTAACAGAACGCGAGTAACCCGGGTTCGATCCACGCCGGCACCAAGGAAATTCTTAGTTGCAATTTTAAGTGCTGATTTACCGCGTGCTCGGCGGTAATGGAAAACATCGGGAGGAAACCTGCATGTCTGAGGAATAAGAAAAAAAATATTTCGAAGACATGTGAAGTTCGTCAACACGCATTGGAGCAGCGCGGCGGACACTTCCTTGCCCTAAAAGCCTCTCAGAAATGAGGTGAGGCCTGTGCCCAGCAGTGGGACGTTATATAGGCTGTAACTTTACTTTTATTTCTGCAGGGTAGCGGCGTATCCATTACCCAATTTCGTTTCATTGGTGTTAGTAATTTTTTGTTTTTTTTGGAGTCTATGTAAAGTTCTAGAATAATCTTATCATCCGATAGCTCAAGGTATGACTGTATCAGTTAGACGAAAAATACAAAATACCAACGCTGGCGACAGGCAGTAGTGGCAAAGATGCGAGACGTCAGGCACTGCGAACGTCAACCTGCCTACCAAGTTTAACGAGAAAGGAATCTTCCTTACAGCTGGAGGGCAGTGTTCAGCAGTAAACTTTTACGGGTCGACAAAAAAAAAGAAAAATGGTACACTATGAAATACATATTATACGTGGCAGAGCCACGCTGCAGCTATATTATGGTTGTAGCACGAATGGCTCAGCTCGACCGGGGCAGGGCCACGCTTTCACAGAATATCATGATAAAATAGCAGCTTAATACTGCTATGTTTCATATGGTGAGTGTAGAGAGATACGGAGACCCTTTTTTCTAGAAACGTGACATTCCATCTTAGTCCTCAGGGGTGATAATGCAAATGCGTTTTGATACTTAATCGAGGACAAATGTAGATAGATGTCTATGGGCCACAACATCCATTTTACCATCAGGTGGACAAACAAGTGTGTGCTGGTTTGTCACCCTTATTCTATATAAAAAAAAACCATGGATATTTCATTTATAAATAAAAGTAACTCCATATTCAAAATCAGTCAGCTTTAAGCCAAATGTATAGTAAATTTAATGAATAATGACTTTGATAATTAACGTGGTATGTTTGTTGGAATTTGATATGCGACCTCGTGGTCTTGACGTACCTATAAACCGCTTATGTTTTATCGATAGGTACATTAAAGCCATTTTTATCTACCCATCCACTTAACACAAATATATAATAGTGATTCATAATTCTTATCTAAATTATACGCGTTGTTAACGACATCCTGAAGTTGAAAATGTAAAACATTTTATTTATTCTTATAAGAAAAAATGCTGGAACTAGAATCATTAAGTGCTCTAAGGCCCGCCATAATATACGGAATTCCGTTTGGGAATTCCGATTCGTGACTCCGATCGCAGCAAGTCCATATTATACAATCAATGACCCACCAACCTACGGTAGTTTTCCGTTCAAAATTTTGCGAGATACCGAAACGGATTTCCGTATGTATGCCGGCCTTACATGACTGCTTCACAACAACTATACTAACTCTTGGAAATTAATTTGAGAGCTATGACGTTGAATATTAACTATACTAAAAATTATTAAGTCACTCAATTTTGCTAAAATTCATCTCTAAGTGGATAGGTCGACCTTGTATCAATTACATTTTTACACATACATAATAAGTGGCAATATTAGTGGATCTGGACTTGAATATCAAATCAAACCATTAGTTCTTTAATTTAAACATTTGAGCCCCTTGGAAGTAAAATACAACGCAGTGAGAGCGTGACAGGTTATAACTTGTTATACGCTTGAATTTTGAACGACGTCGTAGGAAATAAATGTACGTCGTAGGTCTTTTATATCTATACATGTGATGTATAACTTTAAACATTAACTTGATTAATGTGAAATAAATATTGCTAGTATGGATGATTTTCTAAGTCTAAATTAATTATTTTATTTTGACGAACAATGCAACTCACCCTAAAATAAGGTTTGTAGCACGAGATGTTTCTAGAAAAGTCACTCTTTAAAATAAATGAAAAAGAGATAACTTGTAGCGCTTTTGTTTAGCACGTATATTTTCGCTCACTTATGAGCAAAGAACTGTTTATAGTTTAACTTTTTAAACGAAATTCACTCCAATGTGGAATGCGGCATGCGCACACTGCGTAAGGTTTCAGAAAACGTTGTGCAACATTCGCGCCGAAAGCGCCTCATACAATTTTAATTTTCCTCAATCCCCACCACAATTGCGTTGCGTTGCGTTCTAAAAATATCTCTGTCGTGTCGTTATTGGACAACAATGATGACGTCAATTTGGCCAACCAATGGGCTCGATCCTAGACTCAGAGTCACGAGACCGTCTCGTTTCGCGACGTGCTCTACAAAAACGTGAACGTGAAATATAATTTACAGCTCTACAAAAACGTATGTATGTTTTTATCGTAAAATGTCATGTATGTTGGCATTGGATTTTACAGAGATTTCGAGCGACAATATAACAAAATCGAGCAGTTTGTGCAAAATGCACAATAAATGAGTTCATCTTGGTATTTGTTAAAAGCGAAACATAGTTGAGTATTACAGGCTATAATAAGTATTATAAAACAACGATAAACAAAATTAATTGGAGAGCAGTAGCAAATAGTTGATGATTCAAAAGCTATATATAACTTAATCTATTACGCTTATATCAAAATAAACCGTATTGAGGTCAGAAGACGTCGAAAAACTTGCATTTACTTATTTAGATATATAAACGATTAATAGCGTATGTAAGATAACCTGTTTTTACTTTCTCTTTTTTAACCCTCCAATGTAGAGTTCGCCAATCAATAGTATCTGAATTAGATATACCTAGTTCTATACGCTACATTCTAGCAGTTTCGAGTCATCGAATTAACAATACTGAGTTGCCATGAAAGTACAAAATAATAAAATTACAAATTACAAAATAATAAAGTAATTTTATTATTTATTTTGTTATTAGATCATGAATAAGGGCATTATATTTTCTTATTTTTATAAATTGAATTTATAATACATTACGTTCTATCCATCCATAACAGTCTATAAAAGTCCACTGGTGACTGGTGAACATAGGCCACCCCATAGATTGCATTATAGAGAGGTTTATGTCATAGTTGCCATGCTTGGCAGGTCTGGTTGGCAGGTTTTTATTATTTTGAGTTGTGATCAGGAAGATGCCACTGCCCATTTCCTGCTTCAGTTTCCCTCTGTCACGTCTTACGACTCCCACGGGAAGATGATATGGGGTTCTGTCTTTTAGTACCTACATATTACTCTTGATTGCAAGTAGGGTTAAGGTATTTAACATGTATATTCGGGCGACATAATATACCCGTTGAGCCAAGTTGTTTTTATTACTATACTAGCTTGCCAGGCAGACGTTGTTCTGCCCTTTTCGACGACCCTTTGTCATGTCCTATTAAAAATCCTTAAATTCGCAAAAAAAAAAAATCGTGGGTCACTCATGGGCCAAGAAACTATCCTATCTCTCAAGTTGGGCCTAACTGCATACGGTGTGCAAATTTGATTAAAATCGGTTAAATGATTTAGAAGTCCATCGCGGACAAACAACGTGACACGTAATTTATATATATTAAGAAGATTGTTTTAAACGCATCATTAAGTAACTACTAATTCATATAAATTTACACTTAACATTATTTAGAAAGATAGGGGCATTGCGAAGATATTAAGTCTTATACTCAATCACGCTTTAAAACGGATTTGGATGTAACTTGACACGCAGATACTTTGTCATAGAATGACATGTGATACTTTTACTACGGACACGCGAACATGAAGTCGTTTCTTAGTGTTGCCACTTTAGCGACTTTGTCGCTAGATCTAACGACTTTTTTGTTAGTTTAGGGAGTTTAATTCAATGTTTAGCGACAAAAAATATTCTGGCGACTTTTAGCGACATTTGCACAATCTGTACATACTTCAATTTTTGGTACCATCTGACAACTTAAGGCGTAAGGAGTATACTCTATCCACTAACGAAATTATAGAATGTAAAGGAACCGAAACAAAGGTTCTTTGAATGTCGCTTTTACAAACACATATAAAACATCACAACAATATACCTAATGGAAAAATGTTATGTTATTTATTTGTAATAGGCAATCCTGTTACAAATAAATCACATAACATGTACTTCATCAAAATCTCTTGCTTTCAAAATTAAAATTAATAACAACTTAACATACGTTAGAAATAATTTTAAAATAAAAATGAAACGCCTTATAAAACTAAAGCAACTAAAAGTCAAATAATCATTTTACACAGTACTTATTTTAAATAGTATTATTTAAAGTATTATTATTAACTTATTTTATGACAATAGAGAAAAAGTTTTAAAAGTTTTATTTAAAATGAGAATAAGCTATTTCCTAATTTGGTCGGATTACACCTACAACGTTGTTTTCACTCTTTATTTGTTTACATTTTATCTGTTTTATTTGCTTTGATCGGGACTTCCTCGATAGTTATATTTATAATATTCGTTCTTGTCACTTTAGTCTTGTTGCGCGCAATACTTACGTACTACAGTGTTTTTTTTTTAAATCTCCCGTGTATCTAATTTTATTTGTTTCCATTTAAAAGTGATTGTTTGTTATTTAATTAAATTTATTTTTAATCAAGATTATAAAATGAATGTATCGTTGAAGAAAAAAACCTGCAGTCAAAAATAAAGAAAGGAATGGGAAGACGAATTTAAATGGTTTAAAACCGGTGATGACCGACGCGACGATGCAAAAACATTTTTTCATGCCATACTGAAATGTAGAAATGTATGCGAAAATTTCATGTCAAGTTAGAATTTTAGTTCTATATATATATATATATATATATATATATATATATATATATATATATATATATATATATATATATATATATATATATATATAATATATATATATAGTGAAAAAAATAAAATGTGCATTTATAGCAAATATCCTGTATTATAATAAAAACAAGTAAAAAAATTGGTTAACACGATGGTTTTTTTTAAAGCTAAGAATCTGAAAAACAACATCAACTTGTTGTCTAATTTATTTTTTCAAAAATGTTTTTTACTAATACTGAAATATTAAAAAATAATATTTTGAATCTAGATTTATTGTCTACACTATTAACTAACATTTGAGACCAATTTTGTTTTTGAAATTCTTCTACTTGGGTAGATATTGTTAAATTAATACAAGCATCTATGCTTCGCCAACAATTTTTTTTAAAGTGCTGCCATTTTTTTATTGATGGCGAAAAAAAAATCATTGATCCCTGATTTGTCGATAAAATTAATTGTATTTTAACCCCTTAAAGTATCGGACATCGGAAACCGGACAGCCTGTATATATATAATTTTATTCTTTATATATACAGGTATATTATTCCGTTACTAAATTTACTTATAACTATATAATTCCATGTGGCAACATTGTACGTTTCTGTGTTTACGCGGGCGGAACCACGGGCAGAACCTAGTGTGTAAATGAGAACACAACAATAATATTCTAAATACATTTTAACAATCTTAAGCTTATGTTTTAAAATAGAGAGAAGAATATGCGATGAAGATACGGAATAGAATAATATGGATAGAGTACTACAACTTGAATGCCTCGTTGGTCTAGTGGAGATGAATATATATACATATATGAAACGCGAATGCTGATCATGTGGTCGTCGGTCGGGCTAAAATCAGTTATTGACTTTTTCTGTCTAGAAATTCTCAGTAGCAACCAATGCTCAGAAAGTTGGCGGTGTTCAGCCCCAGTGCTTCGGAAACCACGGAAAACCGTTCATCCTGCACCTGATTTCTCACCAGTTGTCGGAGTTTTGTCCCATCGGACTATAGGCACTAGGGTTGCCTCCTTTTTTTTGAACAAATATAGTATTTTTCCCAAAAAATATGCGATATATATACTATCTTACTTTTGAGAAATTCAAGAGAAAAAAAGCAGAAATTTATTTTTATTTATTATGTATTTTTCTATATATATTTGTTGTTGCTCTTTGCTTTAGCCATCAATGATCTAAGCACCTTACTTTCTACCTTACCTTAAAAACAATTGTAGGTCTGAGTAATTTAGATTCATATTAAAATTAATTAACAACAATTTTTAATTAAATTAATACATGCTCTTTTTAG